CCAGAGTACCAGGTTGGGCAAACTTGACATATTTTTTTTTTGGTGCCACTGAGTCACTGTTGACTCCTGGCAACTGCCTGGACAAGTCCTTATAGTTTTCTTAGTAAGATTTCAGAAGTGGTTTGCCATCGCCTGCTTCTTCGGGCTGAGAGAAAGTGACTGGCCCAAGGTCACCCAGCTGGCTTTGTGCCTAAGCTGAGACTAGAATTCATGGTCTCCTGGTTTCTAGCCTGGTGCCTTAACCACTACACTGAACTGCTCTCAAGTTGACTTAGTAGTTTTAATAATTACAGCTATTCCATGCAGACACTGAAAATTATGTGGAGCTGAATTCTTGGCAGCCTGGTGAATATTTGTTCATAGAGTTCCATAAAAATTTAGAGGCTTAGAATGTTGCATTTCTGTAGGCATCAAGGGAAAAACACGTGAATGTTATTTGACTGGATTATGGACAAAGGCCATTCCTCAGCAGGACAGCGCATGGCTAGCATGAGAATTTTCCTTCACACCTCCTTTTGTGAAGCTGAGGTAATAGGAACAAAGAATGTTCTTTGAGTTTCTGGAGAGCTAGCCAGCACTCAGCTGTTATAAGAGATTGCCCGAATTAATATGAAACAGCTTCCTATGTATTGTGTGAGCCCCCAGTTGGGCTGATTATTATAGAACTAGTTTGTCCATTAAGCTATGAGCCACCAGTCAAACCATGTGAATATATCCCTAAATCTAACTTTAAATTTGGTCTAGTTATCTTGCATGCTGGATAAAGCAGTACAGCTGTGTCTAGCCTAGGCCATTTTAGATGGCAGATGAGGACCTGGATAAAAGGAATATTCTTTTATACCAAAAAACACAATGTTCATAGGGAAAACTGTCATCAAGAATAATTTTAGCCTTCTATGTCTTCTACATGTCAGTGCTTTAATGGAGGATTTAATCACTATCTATGTGCTTCAGCCCTTGTATGTAAGACTGGGATCTGCTGAACCTGTACTTCCAGACTGTCACATTTCTGCCAACATTTGAGATTCCACCATTTGAGATTCCACTATTGTGAATAAGCAGCTCTTTTGAACCCATCTGCCCTCCTTTCCCAGTCAAGTAGGAGCTTTTTCTCCTTTTTCCAGTGGAGAGGGAGAAGGTGAAAGATTCTCCCATTTCAAGCACTCTGGAGATGCAGTTTTGCTTCTGTGCATGTATAGATACCCATCTGAGTCAAGACAAAGAAGCCATAGCATGATGCAAGCTGGTGCAGGAAACTTAAGAGAATATTAATCATGGCTGATCTGTTTCAGATGTGTTATTTGTTGTACTTTCAGAGTGAGTTTTAAAAACTCTGTTCCACAAAGGATTATTTAATGCCATCTTTTAAAATGTTGAGGTTGCCAAGGGTGCTGTGGTCAGGAGGTATTTATAAGGCTATTAGGTAAGGCTAGCTTTTGTTCTTCCCACAGGAAATAAGTATGTTCCCCGCGCAATCCTCGTTGACCTGGAGCCGGGCACAATGGATTCAGTCAGGTCTGGACCTTTTGGCCAGATCTTTAGACCTGATAACTTTGTCTTTGGTATGTAATACTAATTCTGTTTTTCTCTGATTATATCTTAAATAGCTGCGGCATAATTCCTGCTATTTAACTCATTCTAAGTCAAAGGTAGGCAATATGTGGTCTTAGGTCTTTTCTTAGGAAATTACAATTTCCAGCAGTCCTCATCATTGGCCACAGCTGCTGGGAACTGTAGTTCAGCAACACCTAGAGGGTTACCCTTCTTCTACATATATCTTACAGATCTACATGAAGTATTAAAAAAAAACAACCTCTACTATTTCTAAGATCCTTTTGATCAGTTCAGCCTCTGTCTGGCCATGACTGAAATGAGAGTAAGAATAATCAAGCATCACTCTCTACATAGTAAAAAGATGGCATAGCTATAGGCTGAGTTAACATGATCTCCACATTTGCTATCTGACTGAAAAATCTCCCTGATTCATCTCTAATCATCTAGCCTCAAATTACAGAATCTGGCCTCTTGGACTAATAGCCTGAACTCTATTCTTCTAGATTGGGATGAAGTCATTTCCCATCTCTCCATGCTACAGATGTAGGGACAAATACAGTGGTACCTTGGGTTACGATCTTAATCCGTTCCGTGACTCTGATCGCAACCCGACTTGATCGCAACCCGAAGCAAATTTTCCCATAAGGTTCAATGTAATTACCGTTAATCCGTTCCGGCATCTGCGGACCACGCATCAGGGGCGGAAAAACGGCTGCTGACCACATGGCATGGGCGGAAAATGGCCACGGACCACGTGTCACGGCGGAAAATGGCCGCAGATCCGGTTCGTAACCCGAGGTAAATTTTTGCAGCCGAAGCTGGTCGCAACCCGAAAAGTTCATTAGCAGAGGCGTTCGTAACCCGAGGTAACTTGACTGCTATTAGGCCAGATGACAAATTTACCTTGGACTGAATTTGGATTTGGTCCATAGATCAAATATGAAAATGATTTTAGGATTACTGTCATGTAAATGACTTTGTAAGTATATTGTGTCTTTCTAATTATTCCTTTAGGCCAGAGTGGTGCTGGGAACAACTGGGCCAAGGGCCACTACACAGAGGGAGCAGAGCTAGTGGATTCTGTGCTGGATGTAGTAAGGAAGGAGTCTGAAAGCTGCGATTGCTTACAGGGCTTCCAACTCACCCACTCGTTGGGTGGTGGCACCGGATCTGGCATGGGAACACTCCTCATCAGCAAGATTAGGGAGGAGTATCCTGATAGGATCATGAACACCTTCAGTGTAATGCCATCTCCAAAGGTGTCAGACACCGTGGTTGAGCCATACAATGCCACCCTCTCTGTCCACCAACTGGTAGAGAACACAGATGAAACCTACTCTATTGACAATGAAGCTCTGTATGACATCTGCTTCCGCACATTGAAACTCACAACTCCAACCTATGGCGATCTCAACCACTTGGTGTCCGCCACCATGAGCGGAGTGACCACCTGCCTCCGGTTCCCTGGCCAACTGAACGCAGACCTTCGCAAGCTGGCGGTCAACATGGTGCCTTTCCCACGTCTGCACTTCTTCATGCCGGGTTTTGCTCCCTGGACGAGCCGTGGCAGCCAACAGTATCGCGCCCTGACGGTCCCAGAGCTGACTCAGCAGATGTTTGATTCCAAAAACATG